CCTGCCCCCCTCACTTCCGCCCATGTCAGGACCCAGGCTTTGCTGCCACATTGAGGGGAGCCCACCCCTGGGTCTGCATGGCTGGGGGAGCCCTCTGCTGTCTTTCTGAGCCCAGATCCCTGCCACTCCCAGCCTGAACCCCTCCTGCCATCTTGCCGTGTCCCTGTTCCCTGTGCCTTCATGGGATTGGAAGTACCGCCCCGGCCAGGCTCGGTGGCTCGCGACTGTCATCTCAGCATTTTGGGAGGCCCAGGCCGGAGGATCACATGAGGCCAGGAGTTTGAGATCAGCCTGGGCAACATAGTGAGACCCTGTCACTAAAAAAAAAAAAAAAAAAAAAAAAAATTAGCTGGGCGTGGTGGCGTGTGCCTGTCGTCTCAACTACCCCAGAGGCTAAAGCAGAAAGATCACCTGAGTCCAGGAGGTCGAGGCTGCGGTGAGCCATGATCGTGCCACTGCCCTCCAGCGTGGGCAAAAGAGTGAGACCTGGACAAGAAAAAGGACAGCCCTGCAGGCTCATGGCATCGTCCTTGCCAGCACCTTAGTGCTGAGGAAGTCTCCCCTCCCCCGCAAAGACACACCCCGAGGCAGGCTGAGTGTCCCGGGAGGAGGGCATGACTGGCCTCACTGCCCCGCACACACAACTGAGGGTAACGCCCCCCCACCGGCTTTCCCCTTCCCCTTCCCTGCAGCCTCCGACCGCCCTGCACATAGTCCCCCAACCCGGAACTCTCTCCTCCGCTCTGCTGGCGAAGCTCCCCTGACCCTTTGGAGCCTGCAGCAGACCCCTCCTCTGCTCTTTCTTTTTTTTTCTTTTTGAGTCAGAGTCTCACTCCGTCACCCAGACTGGAGTGCAGTGGCTGCTCCCAGCCACCGCAGCCTCCACCTGCTGGGCTCTGGCAATCCTTCCACCTCAGCCTTCCAAGTATCCGGAATTACAGGCACGTGCTACCACGCCCGGCTGATTTTTTGATTTATTGTAGAGATGAGGTCTCGCTGCCCAGGCGGGTCTCGAACCCGCGGGCTCAGGCAGTCCACTCACCTCAGCCTCCCAAAGGCACGGGATTACAGGCTGAGCCACTGAGCCCCACTAGCTCTTTCTTTTTTTAAATTGGAGTCCAACTCTGTCACCCAGAATGGAGTGCAGTGGCACATCCACAGCCACCGTAGCCTCGACCTACTGGGTTCAGGCCATCCTTCAGCCTCAGCCTTCCATGTAGCTGGAACTACAGGCGAGTGTCACTATACCCGACTAATTTTTTGATTTATTGTCGAAACGAGATCTCACCATGTTGCCCAGGCTGGTCTCACACCCTGGGCTCAAGTAATCCTCTTGCTTTGGCCTCCCAAAGTGCTGGGATGACAGGCATGAGCTACCATGCCCAGCTCATCTCTGCTGCTATATAAAGATTTTTGTTGTTGTTGTTGTTTTTTGTTTTTTTTTTTTAGTTGGAATCTCACTCTGTTGCCCAGGCTGGAGTGCAGTGGCATGCTCGTGGCCACCGCAGCCTCGACCTGCTGGGCTCCGATGATACTTCCGTCTCGGCCTTCCAAGTAGCCAGAACTACAGGCACGCGACACCATGCCCAGCTAATATTTTGATTTATTGTAGAGATGAAGTCTCACCAAGTTGCCCAGGCTGGTCTCGAACCCACGGGCTCAGGCAGCCCTCTCACCTCAGCCTTCCAAAGTGCTGGGATTATAGGCGTGAGCCACCATGCCCAGCTTGCTCTGTCTTGGTACTGAATTTTTGTTTTCTTTTTTTTTTTTTGAGTTGGAGTCTCACTCTGTAGCCCAGGCTGGAGTACAGTGGGCAACACAACCTCATCACGCCTGGCAAATTTTTTTTTTAATTGTAGAGATGAGGTCTCGCCAAGTTGCCCAGGCTGGTCTCGAACCTGTGGGCTCAGGCAATCCTCTCACCTCGGCCTCCCAAAGTGACTGAGTTTCTTTTGCTTCTGTTTTGCACTCGTTTCGTTTTTACCTTGGGTTCATTGTCGCTGCCGGAACTTCAGCTTGATTGCTCAAGTATTTTCTGGTGATAACAACCTTGCCATCTCCTCCGCTAGATTTTACATCCACTGGGCAGGAATAGAGGCCCCCGGCTCTGTCCCCCCAGGTGTCCCCCGCAGGTGCTGGAAGCCCACTGGGTTGAGCTGTCGGAATTGGTTTTTCTTGCAGACAAAGACCTGCGGACCAAGGGCTTCAGCCTGGAGTCCTGCCGCAGCATGGTGAACCTGATGGACGTATCCTTCCGTGTGTCCTGAGTGGTGTTTTGGGCGGGATGTGGGCACGAGAAAGGCGCTGGGGGCTGTTGGGACAGCACAGAGAATGGGACAAAGCTGTGTGGAGGCTGGGCACGGTGGCTCACACCTGTCATCTCAGCACTTTGGGAGGCCGAGGCAGAAGGATCGTTGGAGCCCCGGAATTCGAGACTAGCCTGGGCATCATAGCCAGACCCCCATCTCACATTTAAAAAAACAACACGGCGGGGCACGGTGGCTCACACCTGTAATCCTAGCACTTTGGAGGTTGAGGCAAAAGGATCACTGTGGCCCAGAATTCGAGACCAGCCTGGGCAACAAGTGAGAATCCATCTCATCATATTAAAAAAAAAAGGGAAAAAGAAGGAGAAAAAGAACAGCTGTGTAGATGTGGACACACTGGTACCCCATGTTCAGATGCCTTCCTGGGCATCTTCCTATTGATTGGGAAGGAGAAACTGAGGCACGGGCCTTGTGTCAAGGGAAAGACAGAGCGAGGCTGGGGTCTCCAGTGGGCCCTAAGACTCGTGCTGTCCCTGCACCCCTCCTCAGCCCTCTCATGGCCCCGAGTTCAGAGAATGAAGCCAGCCTGGTCTCCCCTCCCCCCTCCCCCCTCCCAGTGGGCTTGTTTTCTCCGTGGCGTCTCCCTTTCCCCCAGACGCCCCTCTCCCTTCCTGGTCTCCCCCTTAACGGCCGCCAGCGCGACGGCAACGGGAAGCTGGGCCTGGTGGAGTTCAACGTTCTATGGAACCGCATCCGGAACTACCTGGTAGGTTGTCCCCACTGTGGCCTCGGCCCCGACGGCGCGGGCTGGGCCCTCCTCTGAGCTGCGTCCCGGCAGCCACCCCATTCTCGGGCCTCTCCGCTGTGCCCTCGGACACCCTGAGGCGGCAGGAAGAGGTGGCCGGCTCGGCCTGGCCCTCACCCTCGACCCCCACCCCCAGTCCATCTTCCGGCAGTTCGACCTGGACAAGTCGGGCAGCATGAGTGCCTACGAGATACGCATGGCCATCGAGTCTGCAGGTGAGGTTGGAGGCTCGTCGCACCTGCCCCTCTGCTCCTGGGCCCAGCTGCCTCCCTGCTGGCCGCCCAGGCGGAGCCCCTCCAGCCGGCCCTGGTCCCCGGGAGGCCGGTGGTGACATGGCGACAGCCATCTTTCGCCTTGCCCGCCGTGACTGCACCCACACTGCACCCGATCTTTCCGCCCTGAGGCCCTCGTGGTCACAGGGTCTTCTGTGATCCTCACAGGGCGTCAGAAACAGGCGAGGCTCAGAGAGGGCCCTGGCCTCAGGCCTCCCGGCCAGGAAGGGACCGAACCTCCCGAGGGAGTGGGAGGGGCCCACAGCGGCCCGATTAGGGACCCGGCCCGTCACCAGACAAACGCCGCCAGGCCCCTGCGGCCCCTGGGTCAACTGCTGGTTCCTGGCGTGACCCAGGCCCTGCTGCTTGCCGGGTCCTGCCCGGGGGCCCTCCTGACCCTCCCCTGGAGAAGAAAGACCCCAGACCCCCTGCCTTTCTCTGGGCCCCCTGCCCGCCCTGTTGACCAGAGGCTGCCCCTTCCCTGACCCCTCTCCGCCCTGCTCTCGTGGGCCAGGCTTCAAGCTCAGCAAGAAGCTGTACGAGCTCATCATCACCCGCTACTCAGAGCCCGACCTGGCGGTCGACTTCGACAATTTCGTGTGTTGCTTGGTGCGGTTGGAGACCATGTTCCGTGAGTGTCCCCGCCCGGCCGCGTCCCAGATGCGGCCCCCGGAAAGCCGGCGAGTGGGCAGGGCAGCCAGGGCAGTGGGCGTGTGACGGAGAGGCTGGGGTGGGGTCGGGGGTCCAGGTGGGCCTGGGACCTGGAGGCTGAGTGCTCGGAGGGCGGGGGAGGGGAGGGGCCGAGGGGGCCTCTCGGGCAGAAGGAGGAGCCGTCTCCCGGCCTCGAGGGGTGACAGCTTGGGTGCTCTGGGGAGGTGGGCGGGGCCAGGCGCAAAGGGGGCCGGTCCTGCCCTGTGCGAATGTCCCGCTGGGTTCTCATTCCCCTGTGGCCTTTTTTCAAACACAGGATTTTTCAAAACTCTGGACACAGATCTGGATGGAGTCGTGACCTTCGACTTGTTTAAGGTGGGAACCCCCTGGGCCCTGGTGGGGGAAGAGTGGGAAGTGGGTGAGGTTTCTTATCTGACCAGGGTCCTCCTGTTCCTTCCCGGGCGGGCGTCTGGGCCTCAGAATCAGTCCTAATGGCTGGGCCACCGGATCCTGGAGGGCCGGGGGCGGTGGTCTGGGTTCTGGGAAGGGAGCAGGACAGGAGGGTTAGGCTCCTGGAGGCCTCTGTGGGAGCTGCAGCCTGGTGTCCTGGGGGTAGAAGGGTTAGAAAGTCTGCCGGGCGTGGTGGCTCGCACCTGTAAACCCAGCCCTGTGGGAGGCCGAGGCGAGAGGATTGCCTGAGCCCAGGGGTTCGAGACCAGCCCGGGCAACTTCACAAGACCTCATCTCTATAATAAATCAAAAAATTAGCTGTGCGTGGTGGCACATGCCTGTAAATCCAGCCCTGTGGGAGGCCGAGGCGAGTGGATTGCCTGAGCCCGCAGGCTCGAAACCCACCTGGGCAACTTGGCGAGACCTCGTCTCTGCAATCAATCAAAAATTAGCCGGGTATGGTGATGTGTGCCTGTAGTTCTGGCTACATGGAAGACTGAGGCGGGAGGATCACCAGAGCCCAGCAGGTGGAGGCTGCGGCAGCCATGAGCGTGCTACTGCCCTCCAGCCTGGGCGACAGAATGAGACTCCAACTCTCTGTGGGGGCCAAGGGTTGTGGGTCTGGGGGCTGGACTATGGTTTGGGTTTGGGGTTCGAATGGGGAGGAGACTGAGGAAGCCGCCATCCCCGAATCCGGGCTGACCCATCTGCTCTCCGTCCACAGTGGCTTCAGCTGACTCTGTTTGCTTGAGGCGGGCGTCACGGCTCCTCCCCGAGCTCCTCCCCTTTCTCATCTGCCAATCCACGCCTCCCACCAAGCCCCCCCAGGCCATGCCATCTGCAAGTGCCTTCCTTGGACGGGAGGCCTCTTGTCCTCCTGTCCCCTTGCCTCCAAGCCGCCGCTGTTCATCCACTGTGGGCACAGAACCCACCGTTCCTGCCTGCGCCAGCCACGTGCTCGGGATGGACCCCCAGCCCCTCCGTCGCCAAGCCAAGAAGGCAGCTTCCGCTTGCTCCTGCCTCAGGACGGCCCCACGTCCCCCCAGCACTCCAGAGGCCACGCCCGGCCTCATCCCCTGGCCTCCCTGCAGACTGCAAATGATAACCACTAGCCCCCCACGGTCTGCAGTCCAGGTGGGTGGAGGCCCCTCCCAGCTGGGGAGCCCGGGCCTGGGAACACCGGTGCCTTCTCTCGCAGAAGCCAATGCCCCCCTCTGCCTGGCAGCCCGCCCTCCCCAGCCCTGCCCTCCCACCAACCAGGAGCTGCCCAGTCTGGAGGGTGGTCAGGCTCCTTCCCTCTCTTTTTTATATTGGTGATTTTAAAGGGGACTCTTCAGGGACTGCTTATGGGGGTGCAGAGGCACTAGACATGGGTGGGGAGGTCCCATGTTTCCATGTGGAGGAACCCCAAATAAAGGAAAAGGTCCCACGCCTGTCTTTGGAGTGTCTCTTCCCCATCTGCTGCCTATAGAACACTGGCAACCCTTGGCCTGTGGGGACAGCTGGTGGCCTCTGCCCTCCAGTACCCACCAGCCCTCCGTCCTCCCCATGATCCAGGAGGCTGGAACCCCTGCGGGGTACTGGGCACCTGGGCGGGCCGCCTCTGGCCCTGGGAGCCCGGGGAGGGTGGGTCCGAGTCCCCGGCTGAGGGACAAGGCCACAGAGCTGAGGTCCCACTTGGCTCTCCGTGCAGCCCAGGAGGCCTGACCCGGCCTTTCCTGCAGGTGGTGCCCCGTGAGGGGCGGCCCTGGCTGAAACCCAAACCTCTACTTAGCACAAGCCTGACCCCCCAGGGCGCTCCCCAGAGCACAGAGCCTCCTTCAGCTGCTCCCGGGGAGAGGGCTGCCCTGTGGCCCAGACACCTGCCCCTTACATAAGCCCTTCCAGCTCCCTCTGGATCTCAGCTTTTCTTCCCAGAGATAAGAGTGGGTGGGGTGGGAGTGGGATGGAGCCAGCAGTGAGGACAGCACGGGCCCAGCGAGCCCCAAGTGGCAGACTGCCCGGACGCTGTCTCTGCCTCCTGAGCATCTTGCCCTGTCAGTGACTCTCTCGGAGCCCTGGAGGCGGGTCAGGCTGGACTCAGAGGCCTTGTCAGTAAAGGGAGGGGCTGAACTCTTCCTGAACCCAGGCTGGCTTGTGACAGGGGCCAGGGCGGTGCAGGGCCCCTACCTCTCACTCAGACCCTTGTCCTTCTCTGCATTGGGTTTGCTTTGATGAGAACGCTGGACCTGGATGATCTTGGGGCCCTAATCCCTCAAAAGCCTGACTCCAGGGCTGGGGCAGTGCGTGGGGGCGGGGAGAGCAGGGCTTCCCTGGGCTGCCCTATTTGGACTTTTTTCTTTTTTTAAATCAGAGTCTCACTGTCCCGGGCTGGAATGCAGTGACGCGGTCATGGCTACTGCAGCTTTGACCTGCTGGGCTCAGGCGATCCTTCCGCCTCAGCCTTCCAAGTAACTGGGAGTACAGGCACACACCACCATGCCTGCTAATTCTGGTCTCCAATTCCTGGGCTCGGGCAATCCCTCTCACCTCCGACTCCCAAAGTGCTAGGATTACAGCTGTGAGCCACCACACCTGGCTGCTACGAGAACTTTTTTTTTTTTTTTTTTTTTGAGTTGGAGTCTCACTCTGTCACCCAGGCTGGAGTGCAGTGGCACACTCATGGCCACTGCAGACTCGACCTGCTGAGGTCAGGTGATCCTTCTGCCTCGGCCTTCCGAGTAGCCAGAACTACAGGCACGCACCACCACACTCAGCTAATTTTTTTATTTATTGTAGAGATGAGGTCTCGCCAAGTTTCCTGGAGCTGGTCTCAAACCCGTGAGCTCAGGCAATCCTCTCACTTTGGCCTCCCCAAATGCTCGGATTTCAGGCTGAGTCACCAAGCCTAGCCACTACCAGGGCATTTGAAAAGGAGTCTTCCCCAAGTGTCACCGGTGCAGCCAATCCCTGCCTTCTGGGGGAGTTGGGGAGAGCAGACACCTCTAATCGCTGTCACCCTGTTATTTTGACCCCTGAGCACTTATGGCTCCAGCTGTCATCTGGAGTCTAGTGCCAGTGACTAGTGACTGCGTCTCACGTGCCAAGGCTGGTACTGGGCCTCCAGAAGATGTCTCACGGTGGCCTGTGAAGAAGGAAGGTGATGGTGTGAGGAGGCTGGCAGGGCGGAGGTGGCCTCCCAGTGCAGAGATGGAGAAATCTGGAAGAAGGACCTGGGGGTAGGGGAGCCCTGCAGACTTGGGACACCTGAGCCCTGTGTGGGGTGTAACCCGAGCCCTCAACACAGGCTCACAGGATGGCTGTGGTGCCAACCCTTGGCCTCTACCTCCGCCTCCCAGGGCCCCGCTCTGGCCCCTTTGCATAAAGCCAGGCAGGCAGGCTCAGATTGGCCGTGGCCATGGCCTTCACAGACCTGCTGGACGCCCTGGGCGGCGTGGGCCGCTTCCAGCTCGTCCACACGGCCCTGCTGCTGCTGCCCTGCAGTCTTCTGGCCTGCCACACCTTCCTGCAGAACTTCACGGCCGCCGTGCCCCCCCACCACTGTCGGGGCCATGCCAACCGCCCTGGGGGGGCCACCAACGACTCCGGGGCCTGGCTGAGGGCCCCTGTGCTCCTCGATCAACTGGGGGCCCCCGAGCCGTGCCGGCGCTTCACCGAGCCTCAGTGGGCCCTCCGGAGCCACAACGCCACCGGCCCCGGGGTGGCCACGGAGGGCTGCAGAGATGGCTGGGTCTACGACCGCAGCGTGTTCCCGTCCACCATCGTGACGGAGGTGAGGGGGGCCGGGCGCGGGGGGCTGCTGCCAGGGCCGAGACTGGAGCGTCCCGTTCTCTCCCCGCAGTGGGATCTGGTGTGCGAGGCCCGCACCCTCCGAGACCTGGCCCAGTCCATCTACATGGCCGGGGTGCTGGCGGGGGCCGCTGTGTTTGGCAGCCTGGCAGACAGGTGAGTGCGTGGGTCCCAGCTACCCGGCATGGGCCAGGAAGTCCCAGGCTGGGGCTCTCATTTTTCCCTTTCTTTCTTTCTCTCTCTCTTTTTTTTTTGGTTGTAGTCTCATTCTGTTGCCCAGGTTGCATGCAATGACACGCTCACGGCCACCGCAGCCTTGACCTGCTGGGCTCAGGCGATCCTTCCGCCTCAGCCTTCCAAGTAGCAGGAGCCATATCATGGGCCACGTGCCTAGCTAATGTTTTTAATGTACTGCAGCAACGAGGTCTTGCCGAGTTGCCCAGGCTGGTCTCGAACCCCTGGACTCGGGCAGTCCTCTCACCTCTACCTCCCAAAGTGCTGCGTTACAGGCATGAGCCACTGTGCCTGGCTCTTTCTTTTTACAAATACTTTGTGGCTTTATAGCAACTTTCATTCAAAATGACGTCTTACATCATCTATAACTCAGGAAATCCCTATCTTACTATCAGACTAATTTTTCTTTTTCTTTTTTCTTTTTGCATTGGAGTCTCACTCTGTCGCCCAGGCTGGGGTACAGTGCCAGGATCACAGATTACTCACTGCAATCTTGACCTCTTGGACTCAGGCGATCCTTTCACCTCAGCCTCCCAAATAGCTGAGACTCTAGGCGCACCCCATCACACCTGGATAATTTTTGCATTTTTTTTGTTTGTAGAGATGTGGTCTCACGATGCTGCCCAGGCTGGTCTCAAACTCCTGGGCTCAAGTGATCCTCCCACCTCAGCCTCCTAAGTGCTGGAATTACAGGCATGAGCCACCATGACCTGCTAATTTAACATTTTTTTTTTTTTTAAGATGAAGTCTTGCTATGTCACCAAGGCTGGCTTCAAACTTCTGGGCTCAAGCAATTCTCCTGCCTTGGCCTCCGAAAGTACTGGGATGACTGCATGAGGCACTGTGCCCAGTTACATTCTGGTCTTTCTACCTGTAACCTTGTATCTTTTTTTTTTGAGTGGGAGTCTCACTCTGTCGCCCAGGTTGGAGTGCAGTGGCAAGCTCATGGCCACCCTAGCATCAATCTGCTGGGCTCTGGCTGAGCCTTCCCCCTCAGCCTTCCAAGTAGCCGGAACTACAGGTGCGCACTACCAAGCCTGTCTAATTTTTTTTTTTAATTTACTGAGAAGACGAGGTCTTGCCAAGTTGCCCAGCTGTTCTCGAACCCGAGGACTCAGCCAATTCTCTCACCTCAGCCTCCCAGAGTGCTGGGATTATAGGCGTGAGCTGCTGCACCTGCCCATAACCTTGTATCTTATCCAGAGAATTTTGTTAGTGACCAGCTCTCATTTCATGCCTGTCATTTACAGGCGATCAATGAACTTACATGTAACAATAAATGAACGAATGAATGAATGCATGCATGAATGAATGAGTGTGTCATGGAGTGTGTGGGGAAGAAATGCTGCCCCTTCTTGGCCTGTCTCCTTCCTGGTCAACCTGGGGCCGCACGCTCTGGCCCTGGACCCTCATTTGCAAGTGGGCGGTGCTAAGGCCGGAGTGGGACAGCCTGGCCACCCTGCCTCGGCCCCTCTGTACCATGGTAACCCTGGCCACCCCAGCCTCCCCGGCAAGACGGGTCCACGTGAAAAAACTCGACCCTGGGTCCTGCTCTCACAGCCTGGGGCTGGCCAAGCTCGCCCCTGCGAGTTCTCGCTTGAGGCTTCCCTCCAGCCAGAACGATGCTTGGGGGACCCCTCCCCACCTGCCACCCGCCTGGCCTGGTCCTTGCCTTTCCTTGGCCCTGGAATCGATCTCTCATCTCCAGTCTCTTTCCACACCATGTTGCACCTTCAGTGATCAGCCTCTGCCACCAATGCCTGGGTCCCAGCGCTGCGAGTTTCTGTTTCAGAGGGGTGGTTTTTGCAGGGCACCCCAGCTTCCCCAAGATGGGTTGCTAGGCCCTCACTAAGGTGGCAGGGTGGGGTGGAGGCTGATTGCTTCCTGGGGGACGCTAGGCCGCTGCCCACTGGGACCCTAACACCCATGCCCACTCTTCGGGCTCAGGCTGGGCCGCAAGGTCCCCCTGGTGTGGTCGTACCTGCAGCTGGCAGTTTCGGGGGCCGCCACGGCGTATTTCAGCGTCTTCAGTGCCTACTGCGCCTTCCGGTTCCTGTCGGGCATGGCCTTCTCCGGCATTATCCTCAACTCCCTCTCGCTGGGTGAGTCTGCAGGGCAGAGCCGGGAACGGCGGGAAGAAGGGTCAGCAGCAGCCCCATCACGGGACAGCTTTCTCTTTGCGTTTTGTTGGGATTCTAACCCCAGCGACCTCAACTCAAAACCTCCCGCCAGGCCGGATGTAGTGGCTCATGCCTATAATCCCTGCCCCTTGGGAGCATGAGGTGAGAGGATTGCCTGAGCCCATGGGTTCGAGACCACCCTGGGATCTTGGCGAGACCTTGCCTCTAGAATAAATTAAAAAATTGGCTACGTGCGGTGGCTCAGCCTGTAATCTCAGCATTTTGGGAGGCCGAGGTGAAAGGATTGCCTGAGTCCACGTTTCGAGACCAGACTGGGCAACTTGTCGAGACCTTGTGTCTACCTTAAATCAAAGAATTAGCTGGGCATGATGGTACATGCCTGTTGTTCCAGCTTCTTGGAAGGCTGAGGTGAAAGGATCACCGGAGCCAGCAGGTGGAGGCTGCGGTGGCTGTGAGTGTACCACTGCCCTCCAGCCTCGGTGACAGAGTGAGACCGCAACTAAAAAAAAAAAAAAAAAGAAAACTTCCCACTGCAGTCCTGGACATGGGAGACCAGGGGTCTGGGCCTTTTCCAGGTCTCGGTTTCCGTGTACTCATCTGTGAACTGAGAGGGTTAGGTTTATTTCATCTGTGAATCAGTCAACAATAACCACTTACTAAGTGCCTATTGTGTGCCAGGCTTAGTTGGGTACACAGATGAGCCATGATGGTCCCCGACAGTGTGTGGCCCTAAAGAGGGCAGGGAGTCTTAGCTTCTTGGTGGGGACCTGGCTCCTGGAGGCCATCTGAAGGTGTCGACCGCCCCCAACCCCAAGTGACAAGTGTCAATGTCAGTTCTCACTCCAGGCTAGCTCTAGGCAACTCCTGGGTGGTCTGGGCAGAGAGCATTCAGGGGCATTAGAAAGTCCACTCTGGACACAGGTCTGTTGCTTGCCTGCACTTGACTTTAAAGACTTAGTTCATTCCTGTGGACACGGCCAGACCCTGAAACCGCCGCCACCATTGGCTGTCCAAAGACAGAATGAGACTTTTTTTTTTGACTTGAAATCTCAGTCTGCCACCCAGGCTGGAGGGCAGTGGCACGCTCACGACCACTGCAGCTCCGACCTACGGGGCTCAGGCGATCCTTCCACCTCACCCTTCCAAGTAACTGGAACTACAAAAACTAGCTATCACATCCAGCTTATTATTATTATTATTATTATTAGATTTATTGTATAAATAAGGTCCCACCAAGTTGCACAGGCTGGTCTCAAACCCCAGGGCTCAGGCAATCCTCTCGCCTCGGTCTCCCAAAGTGCTGGGATTACAGTCATGAGCCATTGCCCTTGACCTAGTTTCCATTTTTACGAATCTAAATGTGTTAACCTTTATTTTTATTGCTTCTGGGTTTTGTGATATTCTTGGAAAAGCCATTCTCTACTCTAAGATTATAAAATAATCTACCATGATTCCTTCTAGCATTTTTGTGGTTTGATTGTTTACATTTAGTTTTGTTCCACTTAGAACTTACCTGGGAACAAGGAGTGAGGCAGGGACACCTTTGCCTGTGTCTCATGGATCTCTGGGATGAGTTTAAGTGGCCTGAGCCATGACAGAGGGGGCGGGGTGAAATAAACAACCCTGTGGGCAGCCGGCCCCACGAGTGTGTCGTTGTTTCCTCTGCAGTGGTGGAATGGATGCCCACCCGGGGCCGGACTGTGGCAGGGGTCCTGCTGGGCTTCTCCTTCACCCTGGGGCAGCTGGTCCTGGCTGGGGCAGCCTACCTGATTCGCCCCTGGCGGTGGCTGCAGTTTGCCGTCTCCGCCCCTTTCCTGGTCTTTTTCCTCTACTCCTGGTAAGTCCTGAGAGGAGTGCGGTGGGGACGGGCGCACCCGTGTGGCCAAGCCCTCCCCGGCCCCGGGAGAGGTTGGTCACTGGGCTTGCTGTGTCTGATGGGGACACGAGGGACGGCAGGGCTCCGGGGGTGACAGCTCTCACGTACTCACGAATGGCCACTGGGAAGCCCTGGCGAAATCTGGCACACCGGGGCAGGGCCCCAGAGCGCATCAAGGACGTCCATCTTCATCACCTCCTTTGCATCTCACACAACCCCACGGCACTTCATAAGGGGGAAACTGAGGCACAGCTCAGAGAAGGTCCATGACTTATTCAAGGCCACATAGCTGGGGTCGGAACCAGATTCAAAACCGGGTCTCAGCCAAGCACCATGGCTCACGACTGTAATCCCAACACGGAGGTAGGTCAAGATTGGAGGAATGCTTGAGCCCAGGAGATCAAGACCAGCCTGGGCAACCCAGCAAGACCTCGTCTCTGCAAAAAAATCATGATAATAATTAGCCAGGTGTGGAGGTGTGTGCCTGTAGTCCCAGCTACTCGGGAGGCTGAGGCGGAAGGATCGCCTGAGCCCAGGGTGTCAGGGCTGCAGTGAGCCCTGACTGGGCCACTGCACTCCAGCCTGGGTGACAAAGTGGGACTCTGATTCGCTCACACAAACATAAAACCCTCAGGTCTGTTGAAGTCCTAGGGAGTCTCTAAGTGCCCTTCAGTGAGTCTCTATGACATGATAGAAGGGAGGTCTTCATGTCCCTCGTCTTCCTGGCTCTGAGACAAGGGGCCGGCTCACATTTCTGAGGGTCTGAGGAATGCGGGTTCGGGGAACAGAATGCGCACCCCCAACCCTGCTCCCTCTTCCTGCTTCGCCCCATCCCAGGTGGCTGCCGGAGTCCTCCCGATGGCTCCTCCTTCACGGCAAGTCTCAGCTGGCCGTGCGAAATCTGCAGAGGTCGGCATCGATGAATGGGAGAAAGGAGGAAGGGGAGAGGCTGACCCCGGAGGTGAGCGACCGGGAGGCCGAAACAGCCTCCGTCTTGCCGGCAACCTCCAGGGAGTCTGAGATTTAGCAGCCCCCCAGGACTCGCCTGCCACATGGGAGAGAGGCCAGGAATACACAGGACAGGCAGAGTTCGGGGGCAGGAAATATGGGGTGTCGAATGACTGTGTGATCGGGGATCAATAATTGAACTGTTTTGGCCATCCGTATGTTCACCTGTGCAATATGGCAATAATCCCATTAATGTTGACATCAGACAACATTTTAATAAAATATTAAAATGACAATCATAAAATAAAGTTAGTGAAGCATCACTTATATGATATTTGCCATTTCTTTTCTTTCCTTTTTTTTGAATAGGAGTCTCACTGTGTTGTCCAGGCTGGAGTGCAGTGGCGCGATCACAGCTACCACAGCCTCAACCTTCTAATTGGAAGTGATCCTTCCGCCTCAGCCTCCCAAGTACACAACTACAGTTTGCACCACCACACCTGGTTAGTTTTTAAATATTTTTGTAGAGATGAAGTCTTGATATGTTGCCCAGTAAGGTCTCGAAACACTGGCTTCCAGCAATCCTCTCGCCTCCGCTCTCCAAGGGGCTGGGATACAGGCATGAGCCACCGCACCCGGTATTTATTTTCAATAAATACCATTTATGGCCAGGCGCGGTGGCTCAGGTCTGTAATCCCAGAACTTTGGAAGGCAGAGGCAAGAGGATTGTTTGAGCCCATGGGTTCGAGACCAGCCTGGGCAACTTGGTGAGACCTCATTTCTACAATAAATTTATAAAAGCAGCCGGGCATGGTGGTGTGTGCCTATAGTTCCAACTACTTGGAAGACTGAGGTAGAAGGATCACCTGAGCCCAGCAGATTGAGGTGGCGGTGGCTGTGAACGTATCATCCCACTCCAGCCTGGGCAACAGAGTAAGACTCAAACTAAAAAAAAAAAATAATAACAATTTCTTGAGCCCCATACTAGACACCATACTAAGAACGTGGTGTATATAATCTCATGTAACATCTGATTTTTGCCAAGGAGGAAACTGAAGTGAGCACAGGTGATCTCACTTGCCTGAGAACACACAGTGCAAAGCAGCAGACCCCTGGGACCCCCTGCTCTCCTCCGTCTCCACATCCAATCAGGAAAGGGGTGGGCGTCTCTCCAGACCCCAGAACCCCAGGAGTGCTTGGGCTGTGTTGGGGCCTCTGTGTCGTCTCAAAGCCCCAGAAACAGCCCAGCAAGGGCCACCTGCCCTGGGATGGAGAGAGACCAGGACCTCGCGAGAGTCGTCACCCGGCTCTCCACCTAACGGACGAAGGGGGCCCAGCAGGAACACGGGTCCCAGATCTCACCCTCCCCTGAGCAGACTTTCCTCCCCCAGGTGGTGCGCACCTACATTCATGGTGAGTTTGTGAGTGTTCGCGCCTCCAGCTCCGTCTTGGACCTCTTCCGAACGCCAGCCGTCCGCAGGGTCACGTGCTGTCTCATGGTGGTCTGGTAGGTGACACGCACAGGTCCCAGTCTCTAACCTGGGGACAAGGACATGTTCTCTGCCCTCCCTGACAAACTCTGTTGTGAAATATATATATTTTGGAGTCAAGGGTCTCACTCTGTCACCCAGACTGGATTGCAGTGGCATTATCACAGCTCACCGACCTCCTGGGCTCTGGCGATCCTTTTGCCTCAGCCTCTTGGGTAGCTGGAACTACGGTATATGCCACCACATCTGGCTAATTTGTTGGATTTTTATATAGAGATTAGGTCTCACTCTCTCACCCTGGCTGGAGTGCAGTAGCACAATCATGGCTCACCACAACCTTGACCTCCTGGTCTCAGGTGATCCTTCCACCTTAGCTTCCCAAGGAGCTAGGACTAAAGGCGCGCACAGCATCACACCCTGCTCATTTTTTGATTGTCTATAGAGACAAGGTCTCACTATGTTGCTCAGGCTAGTCTCGAACTCCAGGCTCAAGCAATCCTCCAGTCTCCACCTCCCAAAGTGCTGGGATACAGGAATGAGCCACAGCGCCCAGCCAGACCGGGACAGTTTTGAATTGTATTGGTCAGGTATTTGGAGAACGTACCTCAATCTGGGTTTGTCAGCTGGTTTCCTCATGACCAGACGGGGGTTGCGGATTGGAGTAGAGAACCGTGGAGATGACATCCCTTCTCTCCATGTCCTATCAGGGTGTTCGAGGTATCCATAGGGCTTACTGCTGGTGATGTCAAACTGGGTCACTCTCTAAAGTGGCATCTATAGGTGTCTCCTCTTAAGGACGTCCTCTTTCCATGTTCTATTACTTGAAAGTGAGTCCAGGCTGGGCCCAGTGGCTCATGCCTCCTAGCACTGTGGGAGGCCGAGGTAAGAGGATTGCCTGAGCCTACAGGTTTGAGACCAGCCTGGGCAACTTGGCGAGACCTCATCTCTACAATAAATCAAAAAATTGGCCGGGCGAGGGAGCACACACCTGGAGTTCCAACTACTCAGAAACTGAGGCAGAAGGATTGCCTGAGCCCTGCAGGTTGAGGCTGTGGTGGTGGTGAGTGTGCCACTGCACTGCCGCCTGGGCAACAGAGTGAGACTCCGACTCAAAAATAAAACTAAAAATAAAGAGAGTCCAGTCCACACTCAAGGGAAAGGGAATTAATCTCCACCTTCTGAGGGTGGAATTTCTACGTATATGGTTTGGTGTTCTTCTGTAAGAAAGACTTATTTGTTAAGTCACTTAAATGTATACAGACTCACATGGCTTCTACTTCTGGTTATAATTCATTAACATCATTTGTTTTATTTAGTAAATAGTACATTTTTTTCTTTATTTCCCAAATTGCTCTGGCTGTGGTCATTGGTTTCTTCCACATTGGCTCCGGTATGGCTTCTACATTGAAATTACTCTTTCTTCTTCTCATTTTATTTTATTTTCTTTGAGTCAAGGTCTCATTATCACCCAGGCTGGAGTGCAGTGGCACAATCATGGCTCACCACAGCCTCGACCTCCTGGGTTCGGGTGATCCTCCTGCCTCAGCCTCTTCAGCAGCTGGGACCACAGCTGTGCACCACCACTCCTAGCTAATTTTTGGGGTTTGTTGTTGTTGTTGTTGTTGTTGTTGTTGTTTGTAGAGCCAAGGTCTCACTGTGTTGCCCAGTCTGGTCTAGAACTCCTGGGCTCAGGCAATCCTCCCTCCTCAGCCTCCCAAAGTGCTGGGATTATAGGCGTGAGCCACCACGCCTGGCTCCTTTTTATTTTTTGGCACTGCCTTAAGCTTGACACTGAGGTGGTGCTGACCTGGAAAACCAAACCCACTCCAGAGCCCATGGACTGGAATCAGGAGTGGGTGGCTGGGAAGGAAGGTGGAGGGAGGGGTCTGGGCTCCAAGGCCAAGGTCAGAGACTCCGGAGACCAGTGGGGGGTTGTGGCAAGTGGGAGGACTTTAAGTCCCCAAGGAGAGGAGTCCCGTGTCACCCATTCTGGCGTCCCCTCCCCTGGGCCCGAACGGTGATCCTGGGGGTGACCCAGGACCGCCTTGCCCCCCAGGTTCTCCAACTCCGCGGCTTACTACGGCCTGGCCATGGACCTGCAGAAGTTTGGCCTCAGCATGTACCTGGTGCAGGCACTGTTTGCAATCATTGACGTCCCGGCCATGCTGGTGGCCACCACCACCATGATCCACGTGGGCCGGCGGGTCACCGTGGCCGCCTTCCTCATCCTGGCAGGGCTCACGGTGATCGCCAACATGTTTGTGCCAGAGGGTGAGTCATTCGTGCTGCTCTGGCCGCCAGTCGAGGGGTCTCTGGGGTCTGGGGGCAGCGCATTCCACGAGGGAGTAGGGCTAAGGGGTATTTGTGTGGGTCTGGATGAAACTGACCCTCGATTAGTAGTTTTGTTGTTGTTGTTGGTTGTTTGTTGTTTGTTTTTGAGTCAGGGTCTCACTCTGGGCCCAGGATGGAGTGCAGTGGCATGATCATGACTTACAACAGTCTCAACCTCCGGGGCTCAGGCGATCCTTCCTCCTCAGCTGGAATTACAAGAAGCTGGGATGACAGGAGCGCACCACCACGCCTGGCTATTTTAAAAAATATATTGTACGAGATCTTACCAAGTTGCCTAGGCTGGTCTCGAACCCCTAGACTCAGGCAATTCTCTCACCTTGGCCTCCCAAAGTGCTGGGATTATGGGCGTGAGCCACAGTGTCTCCCATAGTAGAGTTTTTATTTAGCACTTAGTTCCTAGGGTCATTAGTGGTGGAGTGTCTGCAGTGGACACAAGTCCCGGCCCTCAGAGCATTTGCAATCGGGGCAGGGAGGTCAGACAATGCTCAGAACTGGAGATCCTGAGTGCTGGCTGGTGTGTGACCCCTGGGGTCTGCCCAGGCAGCATGGCCGAGGATTGAGAGGCAGGCTGGACCCTCAGCTGGGCTGGCCTGGAACTGTGGTCTGCAAACATAGCTGGAATAACCTTCACCCGGGGGCCTTTGGGGGTTTTTTGGTTTTTTTGTTTGTCTGTTTGGAGAGAGGGTCTCGCTCTGTCACTCAGGCTGGAGTGCAGTAGGATGATCGTAGCGCACTGTAGCCTTGGACCCCTGCACTCAAGCATTCTCCTGTCTCAGCCTCCCGAGTAGCTGGGACTACAAGCACATAACAGCATTTCCAGCTAATTTTTTGGTCTTTTTTTTTTTTTTGGTAGGAGTCATACTGTGTTGCCCAGTCTGGAGTGCAATGGCATGCTCACAGCCACTGTAGCCTTTACCTTCTGGGCTCAGGCGATCCTTCCTCCACAGTCAGAATTCCAGGTAGCTGGGATGACAGGCAGATACCACCACACCTGGCTAATTTATTTTTTTAAGTTGGAATCTTACTCTGTTGCCCAGGCTGGAATGCAGTAGCATGCTCACAGCCACCACAGCCTCGACTTACTGGGCTCTGGTGATCCTTCTGCCTCAGCCTTCCAAGTAGCCAGAACTACAGGTGCGCACCACCACACTTGGCTAATCTTTGATTTATGGTAGAGCTGAGGTTGCGTCAAATTGCCCAGGCTGGCCTTGAACCCCTGGGCTCAGGCAATCCTCTCCCCTCCACCTCCCTAAGTGCTGGGATGACAGGCTTGAGCCACCACAGCCGGCAATGTTTTTGATTTTTTGTAGACATGACGTCTCACTCTGGTGCCCAGGCTTGTCTTGGGCTCCTGGGCTCAAGCAATCCTCTCTCACCTCGGCCTCCCAAAGTACTGTGTCCGGTCTCCAGAGCCCTTTGAAAACTTGCACTGCCCAGGTGCTCCGTGCCAATTCCCTGGGAGTCTCAAGGGCCGGGACTCAACCCTCAGTATCTAAAAAACTGTCCGATGATTCCAGCTAGAAGCCAGGATTGAGTGTCAGCAACACCAAACACGTGCTAAGCTGTGTGTCCACTGCGACCCCAGCTTTGTCACCATGGCCCCAGGCAGGCTATATAGCTCGTCTGTATTTTGTTCCACACCTGTGAAATAAATGTTATTATAGGTATTTTCACATATTTTCTTTTAGTCTATTTTTCTGTTTATAGATTTGCATTTGATATAATTTAGGTCATATTTCATAGAGCATATATATACAATAATGTAAATCAGATTCTATATTTTTATATATGTGCCTGTATACATGTATAATATGCCTTTTTAAAATTATACATTGTAACATACACATGCTTCTCTATGCTAATATAAATGTTTCTGCTGGGCACAGTGGCTCAAGCCTATAATCCCAGTACTTTGGGAGGCAGAGTCTAGAGGATTGCCTGAGCCCAGGGGTTCGAGACCAGCCTGGGCAACTTGGCGAGACCTTGTCTCTACAATAAAAAAAAAAATTAGCTGGACATGGTGTCACATGTCTGTAGTTCCAGCTACTCGGAAGGTTGAGGCAGAAGGATCACCTGACCCCAGCAGGTCGAGGTTACGGTGGCTATGAGTGTGCAGCTGCACTCCAGTCTGAGCAACAGAGTGAGATTCTGACTCAAAAAAAAAAATGTTTTCTGTATCTGATTTTTTATTACTATATATAATATTTAATCTAGATTGGTGTTTCTCAACTGTAATCCCAGCACTTTGGGAGGCTGAGGCAAGAGGATTGCTTGAGCCCAGGAGTTCAAGACTAGCCTGGGCAATAGGCAAAACCTCTTCTCTATAAAAAAATGAAAAATGTTAGCCAGGTGTGGTGGTGCACACCTGTGGTTCTAGCACTTTGGGAGTTTGATGCAGGAGGAAAGCTTGAGCCCAGAAATTTGACAGCCACTTAGGCAGCATAGTGAGACCTCATCTCTACCAAAAAGTAAAACAAAAAACTTAGCTGGGCTTGGTGGCGTGATTCTGTAGTCCCGTCACTCTGGAGGCTGAGGTGGAAGGATAGCCTCAGCCCAGGAGGTCAAAGCTGTGGTGAGCCGTGTTATCCCACTGCACTCCAGCCTGGGTGGCAGAGAGAGACCCTGACTCTAAATAAACACACAAATAAAATTTCCCAGCCTGATTCCAGTGTGAGCTGGGACTGCACCAAGCCAGAAGAGGGGCCACACCTCCCTGACCGTCGCCTGATGTGGGACATTCGAGTTGGGATTTTGACTTGTAAGCAGCAGCAGGACAGGCATATTAAGAATGAGGGTCGGCCAGGCGCGGTGGGTCATGCCTATAATCTCAGTAATTTGGGAGGCCGAGGTGAGAGGATTGCGTGAGCTCACAGGTTTGAAACCAGTTCAGGCAATGTGTCAAGAAGTCATCTCTACAATAAATCAAAAAATTAGCTGGGCGTGGTGGTGCATGCCTGTAGTTCCAGCTACTTGGAAGGCTGAGGCAGAAGGATCGCCTGAGCCCAGCAGGTTGAGGCTGCGGTGGCCGGGAGCGTGCCACTGCACGCCAGCCTGGGCAACAGAGTGAGATTCTAATGCAAAAAAAAAAACAAAAAAAACAAAGGGAAAAGAAAAAAGAATGAGGGTTCCGGGGCACATTTAAATAGCACCAACAAGCACTGTGCTCTCATGACATCGTGTCCACCTATGACAACCCCGTGAAGCAGGTGCTGATGTATTCCTCATTTCAAAGATGGAGACGGGAGGTACAGAGGGAAAGTAACAGTGACCAAGGTCACCTAGCTGGGTCACAGCTGGGATTTGAACCCAGGTCTGACAGCAAAGCTTGGCCTGCCTCCTTGACAGGAGTTGGTGACCAATGCAAATAAGGAAAGACAGAGACAGAGGCCAGAAAAGGGCAGTTTGGAGATTTTGGGTCCCAGGAACCAGGCAGGAAGGCGGCATGGCAGAAACCCCAGTTCTCCGTCTCTGGGCTCTGATTGGGCAGGACCATCCCCCACACCCTGTCCCTCTGCCTCTCCCCCGACCTCACGCCCTCTTGAGACCCCATTCCCCCCGTGCCACCTCCCTCCATCCCCCCCAGCCCACCCTCCCTCTCCCTGTTAGACATGCAGACCCTGCGCACGGCCCAGGCAGCGCTGGGCAAAGGCTGCCTGGCCAGCTCCTTCATCTGCGTGTACCTGTTCACGGGCGAGCTGTACCCCACGGAGATCAGGTGGGTGCGTGGGGAGACGCCCTGGGTAGAGACCTGCTGGCTCCCCGACAAGACTCCTCAGTCCCTCCCGCTCTGCTTCCCAACACCCAGGGCCCGACACCTCTGGCCCTCTGGGGGATCCGGGAAACAGGCTGACCCAGTCACGTGCCTCCCGCAGGCAGATGGGCATGGGCTTCGCCTCGGTCAACGCCCGCCTCGGGGGCCTGGTGGCGCCCCTGGTCACCACGCTGGGGGAGTTCAGTGCCATCATGCCCCCTGTCACTTTCGGGGCCACTTCGATCCTGGCCGGGCTGGCTGTCTGCTTCCTGGCGGAGACACGCAACGTGCCCCTGGTGGAGACCATCGCGGCCATGGAGAGGAGGTGAGAGGACACGGGCACAACAGGTTGTGGGTTAAGGTGGGGTAAGAGGGGGGCACGTGGGATCCTCCTGGCCACTGCTTTGAATCTAAAGTGTCCTGGCTGGGCTGAGCTTGGTGGCTCACACCTGAAATCCCAGCACTTTGGGAGGCCGACACAGGAGGATTGCTTGAGTCCAGGAGTTCGACACCAGCTTGGGCAACGTAATGGGACCCCCCCCCCCCTCTGCAAAAAGTTTTAGAATTAGCCAGGCTTGATGGTGTGCACCTGTAGTCCCAGCTACATGGGAGGCAGAGATGGAAAGATCACCTGAACCCAGGAGGTCAAGGCTGCAGTGAGCTGTGATCATGCCACTGTGCTGCAGTCTGGGTGAGAGTGAAGCCTTGAGGGAAAAAAAAAAACCTAGGCAGATTGGCTTATGCCTGTAATCCCAGCACTTTGGGAGACGGAGGCAAGAGGATTGCCTGAGTCCAGGGGTTTGAGACCAGTCTGGGCAACTTGGCAAGACCTCATCTCTACAATAAATTAAAAAATTAACCTGACCTGGTGGTGCACTCCTGTAGTTCTGGCTGCTTGGGAGGCTGAGGAGAAAAGATTGCCAGAGCCCAGCAGTCGAGGCTGTGCCAGCCGTGATTGTGCCAGGCACTGCAGCCTGGGTGTCAGAGACTCCAATTCTGGAAAAAAGTAAAGATAAAAAATGTCCTGGCTGGACACACCAGAGTTGTACGATGCCTTCCTGCTTATGTCTACACTGGCTCAGCTTTCAACAAGAACAGACCCAATAATGAATTAAACAAGAAGCAAGAATAGGCCGGGTGCGGTGGTTCTCACTATAATCCCAGCAATTTTGAGGCCCAAGTGAGAGGATTGCCTGAGCCCTGGGGTTCGAGATCACCCTGGGCAATTTGGCGAGACCTCATCTCTACAATAAATCAAAAAATTAACTGGGTGTGATGGTGTGTGCCCATAGTTCCAGATACTTGGAAGTCTGAGGTGGAAGGATCACCTGAGCCCAGCAAGTCAAGGCTGCGGTGTCTGTGAGTATGCCACTGCACTCCAGCCTGGGAGATAACTAAAAAAAAAGGGAAAAGCAAGAATAAGCCCAAGGTTGAAGTGAAACCTGGCAGAGTGGGGCAAGGAGAGAGATGTGCTTTTCATGGCAGGCAGGCCCCTGTAGTTGCCATGTGGGGCTTCAAAGTTGGCACTGAACTTCCTCCAACAAAAAAGGAAAACAGTTCGTGACTTTGTGTCTTTTTGGAGAGGAAAAAGGACATCACTTCCTTGGGGAAAACAAAACTTTTCTTAGCAATGAACACTAGAAGAAATTTCTGTCTCGGGTTTCCTTAGAGAAATTGCTGAGCAAGGTGATAGCAACATCTTTAAATATATATATTGAGTCAGACTCATTCTGTTGCCCAAGCTGGAGTGCAGTGGCATGCTCATGGCCACTGCAGCCTCGACCAGCTAGGCTCAGGCGATCCTCCTGCCTCAGCCTACCAAGTAACTGGGACTACAGGCACACACCTCCACACCCGGGTAATTTTTGTATTATTCTGTAGAGACAAGGTCTCGCTATGCCGCCCAGGCTTGTCTAGAACTCCTGGGCTCATGCAATCCTCTCACCTTGGCCTCCCAAATTGCTAGAATTACAAGTATGAGCCGCTGTGCCTGGACTTAGATTCTTATCCTATTCAATGGATTATGCTCTGTTTATTTTGATGCTCAATTTGTCCTAGGTTTGGCCAGTTGGAACGTTTGGCTTCTGGGTCTTTGAAAAATGGTTAAGCAGTTGGTCACTGTGTCTCAAGCCTGTCATCCCATCACTTTGGGAGGTGAAGACAAAAGGATTGCCTGAACCCAGGGATTCGAGACCAGCCTGGGCAACGTGGTGAGACCTCGTCTCTACAATAAATCAAAAAATGAGTTGGCTGTGGTAGTGCACACCTGTAGTTCTGGCTACTTGGAAGGCTGAGGTGGAAGGATCACCCAAGCCCAGCAGTTTGAGACTGCAGTGGCCATGAGTGTTCCACTGCACTCCAGCCTGGGTGACAGTGTAAGACTCCAACTCAAAAAAAAAAAAAAAGAAAGAAAGAAAGAAAGAAAAGAAAAGAAAAAGAAAGAAAGAAAGAAAAATGGTAAAGCATTTTCTTACTTTCTGGCATGATAAGATATTCCAGGTTTGTCCTGCCTTCCCTGCTGCAGTCCTGGGAGAGGGCACTGTTCTTAGTTACCTGGTTCATTTTAGTGGAGAAGATGTTTAGAGACCAAGATCAGGGTGCGAGGTGCTCATTGCTACTGGGCTTTCTCCACTCTCAAGTTCTGTCATGAACAGAGGTGTGGGATATATATCTCTACAGATAGACGTACCCTTCCATCTTTATTTCTTTTCTATGGATCATACTGAAAGCCATGATTTCACACAACACCTCTGAACCAATCCAACACCACAGGGTTCTTCTTAGTTTTCCATCTTTTCTTGTTTGCTTTTTATTAATATTTTTTGATTTGGGGTCTCACTTTGCTACCTAGGCTGGAGTATATTGGCATGCCTCAACCTCCTGGACTCAGGGAATCCTCCTGCTTTAGCCTCCTAAGTGGCTGGAACTATAGGTGTTTGCCACCACACCCGGCTTATTTTTTTGTTTTTTGTAGAGATGAGATCTTGCCATGTTGTCCATGCTGATCTCAAATCCCTGGGCTCAGGCAATCCTTCCACCTCAGCCTCCCAAAGTGCTGGAATTTCAGGCGTGAGCCACGGTGCCTCACCTGTTTTCATATTTGTCAATTTCCTCCTCTGACAATAAGAAATGTGCCTCCCCTTCCCCTTAGTGTATTTATTTATGGGACCAAGCCCCTGTATGTAACCCATCCCCACTGTGCCTGTGATCCCTCCCTTGCACGATGCCCAGGTCTGACTCTCTCCCTTGTCAGATCCATCCTGCATGCACGCCCTCACCTCACCTGGGCTCCGACACCCTCAGCCAGGCCGCCCACAAGTGTGGATGCCATCCTCACCCTGCCCCAGCTCTGATACCCATGCTGGGACAGCCTTGTACCCGGACACCCCTCATCTGTGCCAACCCTGGCTCCCCCTCCCAGTCCGCCTCCCTATGTAGACACCCTGCTCACCTCACTTGGTCTCTGACACCTCAGCCCAGGCCACCCCTCCACACGGACACTTCCCTTGCCCTGCCCCCACATACTGGCTTTGGGAGTGAATTGCTCAGGTAGAGAAGTCTTTTTTTTTTTTGAGTTGGGGTCTCACTCTGTCATCCAGGCTTGAGGGCAGTGGCATGCTTCCGACCACTGTAGCCTCAACCTGCTGGGCTCAGGTGATCCTTCCACCTCAACCCTCCAAGTAGCTGGAACTGCAGGCACACACCACTATGTCTGGGTTATTATTATTATTATTATTATGTAGAGATGAGGTCTCACCAAGTTGCCAGGGCTGATCTCGAACCCGTAGGCTCTGGCAATCTTTTCACCTCGGCCTCTAAAGTGCTGGGATTATAGGTGTGAGCCATCGTGCCTGGCCCAAGAAGCTTTTCATATATATATTTATTATTATTCGTTTTAGTTAGGGTTTCACTCTGTCACCCAGGCTGGAGTGCAGTGACATGATCACGGCCCCTGCAGCCTCGACCTCCAGGGCTCAGGCGATACTCCTGCCTCAGACTCCCGAATAACTGGGAATAAAGGTATGGGCCACCATGCCCAGCTAATTTTGGATTTCTTGCTATATTGCTAGGCTGATCTTGAATTCCTGGACTGAAGTGATTCTCCCATCTTGGCCTCCCAACATTTTGGAATTACGGGCATGAACCACCGTGCCTGGCTCCATACATTTTATTTATTTATTTAGTTGTTTATTAATTCATTTTCTGAGTAGAAGTCTCACTCTGTTGCTCAGGCTGGAGTGCAGTGGCAAGCTCAGGACCATTGCAGCCTTGACCTGCTGGGCTCAGATGATCCTTCTGGCTCAGCCTTCCAAGTAGCTGGAACTACGAGGCACATACCATCTTACTTTTTTGATTTATTGTAGAGACGAGGTCTCGCCAAGTTGCCCAGGAAGGTCTCGAACCCCAGAGCTCAGGCAATCCTCCTGCTTAGCCCTCCTAAAGTGCCAGAATTACTGGCATGAGCCACCAGCCTGGCCGTCCTCAGGCTATTTGAAACTCACAGGGCCTCAAGTCCAGGCAACTCCTCAGTCCTTTCCCCTCCCCTGACTCCTTGAAGGCCGCCCAGGGCAGGAGGGGCTCTTCCTGCCTCTCCCCGGCTCTCTGGGCTGGAGAAGACAGACACCAGCAGGGACGCCTGGGGGTCTCAGCTGGACCCTCCTTCTCCACTTGGTGACCTCAGATGTGTGTCTGGTCTCCAGATCCTCAAATGCAAAACTCTGTTGGCCTCTTGACCCTGCAGCTCGTCCAAGGCCGTTACCAGCCAGGCCATCCTCCTCCAACCGTGAGGCCACAGGGGTGGAACAAGACAGGGGGCGGGGGGGCGACGGGCAAGGTGAGCCCAGAGGGAGAGCCAGTGCCCTTCCGCCTCCCTTTTGGCTTGGGGGAGTGGAGACAATTCCCACCGCTTGGCACGAATCCTCCCACAAGACACACACACTGCCTGCCCTCACCACCATCCTCTGCCCGCTTGTCTCTGCAGGGTCCGAGAGGGCCCTTCCATGAGGAGTGCGGAAGAGAAGAGTGAAGAGGTTTCTCTTCAGCGGCTGGGAGCGTCTCCCCTCAAAGAAACCATCTAAGCTGCCAAGAGCCGGCACCTGCCAGCAGCACCCTCGCTGGCACCTGGAAGGCCTCCCGGGGACACTGTGGTTCTGTGGGAGAGGCCCCCACAAGCCGGGAAAGGAACCCAGCCGGCCACAATTTTCCCTGACCCAGCGACTACAGGAGAGATTGTTTTAAATTGTCTGTTTATTCTTGTTCCACCTGGGAACACTGTGTCTTTGCGGGGTTGGGGTGACATCTCTGCCACAGGGCTGTCTCTGGAACACCCCACTTGTCTTTCTTTTTCTTTTGAGCCAGCGTCTCACTCTGTCATCCAGGCTGGAATGCAGTGACACAATCACAGCCACCACAGCGTCCACCTGCTGGGCTCAGGCAATCCTTCCACCTCAGTCGTCCAAGTACCTGGGACTGCAGATGTGTGCCACCATGCGTGACTAACTTTTTTGATTTATTGTAGAGAGGCGGTCTCACCATGTTGCCCAGTGTGGTCTCGAACCTGTGGGCTCAGGCAATGCTCTCACCTCAGCCTCCCAATGTGCTGGGATTACAGGTATGAGCCACCATGCCCAGCTTTTTTTTTTTTAACACCATCTCATTCTGTCACTTAGGCTGGAATGCAGTGGTACGATTATAGCTTACTGCAGCCTCGACCTGCTGGGCTTAGACTATCCTCCTGCCTCAGTCTCCTCTGTAGTTAGGACTACAGGCATGCGCTATCACACCCGGCTAATTTCTTGCTTTTTTTGTAGAGAGGAGGTCTTGCTATGTTGCCCAGGCTGATCTTGAATTCCTGGGCTCAGGCAATCCTCCAGCCTCAGCCTCCCAAAGTGCTGGGATTACAGGCCTGAGCCACCATGCCCAGCCAGTCCACCTGTCCTTGGGAAGCTTTGAGAACTCATTCTGCTCCACTCATGGCTCATGGCTCA